CCGCGCTGCTCGGCGTCCGCAATGGAGCTCTGCAGGGTTTCACACTGGAGGGCAAGACGTGGATGTGGTGAGTGGGGCAGGGGCAGCTGATTGGTGGTGAAGCCATGACCCCAGACCACTTGGGCTCAGCCTTTCACAAATGCCGCAGGTTCCCTCCCAGCTACAATGACTGTTACCAGAGTATTTACTTTTAGGGAAGCTCTGAAAGGTATTACCAAAAGCTCACACCCATTTCTCAAAAAAGGCAACCCCTACCTGTTTCTTCACGTTCTCGATCTCAGCCCGTATCCTCTGGATCACGCGGTTGAGCTCGGAGATCTCGGTCTTTGTGTCCTTAAGGCTGTCTCCATGCTTGCCTGCAGTGGCCTGCAGCTCTTCATACTGGTAGGCAGAAGTGAGAGGAGCACGTTAGGTCTAGCAGGAGTCTCCCCACACGCCAAGGACAGCATGTGCACACTGGCTCCAGCCTGGGTAGATCTGTACAAGCAATATCCCAGGTCTCGGCATGGTCTGAGCCACACCAGTAACTCCTTCACCCCCTCAGCCAACCGTGATCACGAGCAAGGTCTGGAGCACTCGCCTTGCACCGGTACCAGGACTCAGCCTCCACTCTGCTCCTGTTGGCAATCTCCTCGTACTGCGCTTTAACCTCCGCGATGATGCTGTCCAGGTCCAGGTTTCGGTTGTTGTCCATGGAGAGAACCACTGAGGTGTCAGAAACGGTCTTCTGCATCTGTGCCAGCTCCTGTAACCCACACCAGGCCTGGATTCAGCCCTGCCGCGATTCCCCTGCAGTGTCACGACACTTCTCCACCCCACCATCCCTCCCCCACCCGCCCAGAGAGCAGCTGGAGCACTTACTGCTTCGTAAAGGTACTTCAAGAAGTCAATCTCATCTGCCAGAGAATCTAATTTTGCCTGAAGATCCACTTTGGTCATATAGGCCGCATCCACATCCTGCAGGAGCAATGGGAGGTGAAAACCCGCCCCACGCACACGGGTTTACCTAACATTCAAACCGAAGCCCTTTGGTGCACCGTTTCCACAGGCACGTGCATCTAAGACTACGCCTGATGCCAACAAACCCGTGCTGATGGAAGCAAGACATCCTCTGAACAAAGATGTGTTAGGAAAAAAAAGCGCTTTACCTTTTTTAGGAGCACAAAATCGTTCTCCGCAGCTGTCCGTTTGTTTATTTCCTCTTCATACCTGTTGATTGTAAGGAGGTAGATTGAATCTGCTTGTTTTGGCTCTGGCTGCTGCTGGCAACTAGATGTTGTTGGCCTCAGACTAATGAACGCGGCAAAAAATAGACCTGCCATGAGCAAGATTTATGGACAAGCCACGGCACTTTGCCTTTCCAGGTGAGTCCTGGCTCCTGCCATCTCCAACACCTTGCAGAGAGGAATCCGATCTCTGCCGAAACTGAGTCTTCATGGATCTGGCCCCTCCGACTCCTTCCACAAAACCCAAGGACCTTCCGGTCCTCGCTGTGGGCCATCTCCAGCTGCTCACTGGGCAGGTCATCACCAGTGGAGATGATCCCCAAAACAAAGTCAAGTTTCAACCTGCAACCTCAGCAGAGCAAGGGATCTGGTTGGTCCTAATGAGTCCCACCAGACTTCCTCTCCCAACTTTTTCTGTGATTCCTCCAGTGGAAACCTTTCTCCACGCTTTGGACTTGCTTTTCTGACTGGACAAATTGATCTAATCAATAACAGCAGGAAAAGGCAGGGAAAAAAATCCTTTTTTGTTTGTTTGGGGCTTTTTTCCCCATGTCATCTTTCCAAAGAAAGCTCTAACCTTCAAATCATGAAGGATATTATGGGAAGGAATCCATGAGGAAATATGTGAGGAAGTTATGGTAGGATTTAGCAACTGATCTAATTAGTTCATTAAATCATAATGCCATGGATTCTTGACCGAGGAAGACAAACAGCAGAGGATCCTGCTGTCGGGACAAGCATAACTGACAACGAGGCATATTCAGAAATACTTCGTAAAATCACCTCCTGTTGTCAAAACCCAGCTGATGCTGAGGTCCCCAAAGGTCTCCAAAACCTTCTATGCTTTCTAATTGTTGAAACAAGTGACATATTGCCATTTCTTATAATTCCTTGAATTTTCTGGCTGTCCAAAGTGAGTTTTTATCTCTATTTTTTCAGCACCAGACAACCCATGACTCCACTAGAACAACTTACTTGGTCTTGAAGTCTTCCACCATATCATGGAAGCTCTTCAGCTCCAGCTCCAGCTGATGCTTCTCACTCGAGAGGCAGTCCAGCTGCTTCCTCAGCCCGCTGATGTAAGTCTCAAACAAGGGGTCGAGGCTCCTGCCGACTGTCCCCGTGCCACCCTGCTCCTGCAGCAGTTTCCACTTGGTCTCCAGAACACGGTTCTGTTGCTCCAGGAACCGAACCTAAACGATTGCAGGGGTGGGTGGAAAAAGAGTCAGACTATTCCCAAAACCATCTTTTTATTGTCTTTCTCCCACCTTCTCCATATTTTCTTCCCATTTAGTGATCTTTAACCTTCCTGCCTACTCTCATCTCCAGTTTGCAACAACTCCAGGGTCCCACCGGACATGTGGGACCACAGCTCTACGGAGAGTGGGCCAAGGTGTGTCACCTTCCCCCTCCCATCTCACACGCTCTGAACAGGAGAACCACGGTGAACTTCGCAGCTTTGGCATGTTCTCCCTAAAAAACAGGCTGAAACGCCCAAAATCCTTCAGCCCAGAGTGGACAGAGCTGTCAGCAGAAACTCCTCTGAGGATGCTCTGCGTGTAGGTACATGATCCCACCCCTTGCACCGGTATCGTGGTGTTAAGAACCAACGATCCTCTTGCTGGGTTTGTCCATAACCTTGGGAAAGTCACTTCTCCAGCCATCACCTCTGCCTGCAGGGATTCTTTGGGATAGTCCAGAGAGAGCCTGGCTCTTTGGGAATTGTTGGATGGGTATCTCCCCGTAACTGCACCCAGCCCAGCCGTGGTGAGCTCAGCCACCTCCCAGCCCCGGGCTGGAACCCCTCTCACCTTGTCGATGAAGGAAGCAAATTTGTCGTTGAGCTTCTTCATCTCCTCCCGCTCTTGAGTTCGGACCTTCTGGATCTCAGGGTCGATTTCAAGGTTGAGGGGGGCCAGCAGACTCTGGTTGATGGTCACTTCCCTGATGCCACCCGGCGGGCAAGGGGGAAAGCCCTGACCCCCCATCCCGCCATCAAATCCTCCACCAAAGCCACCAAAACCACCACCGAGGCCTCCACCAAAGCAGCCTCCAGCCCCGCCACTGTAGCCGCCACCAAACCCTGCGCCAGCACCGTAGCCAAAGCCTCCTTGGCCACCAGCCCCAAAAACTCTGCAGACACCGCCACCTCCACCGAATCCTCCCAGAGAGGTGCTTTTACTCCCTCCCAAGCTATAGAGGCTCCTGCTGCTGAAGCCACCAGCGTTGCCGGGTCCCCTGCATCCTCCACGGGACACAGAGCTGAACGTGACCTTGTTCCTCCCGCCGAAGCAAGCGGAGCTGGAGCTGAATCCCTTGCCGAGACCGCAGGACTGGCGAGACATGGTGACGGGTCCTCAAGTCAACTCGTGAAGAGAGAAGAGCGGAGCAGTGCAGTGCACAGGAGGAAGTTCAGAGGCAAGAGGAGGTGACTCCTGTGGGTGCGTGGCCAAGTGCCCCTTTTTATGTGCTCAGGGAGTTGGCTGGGTGTCAGGGGAGTGGAGATGTCTCTTTTTTTTTGGTATTCTATTCATTGTTTTAGGGCTTGGAAAGATGCCTTCCTCTCCCTGCCACCACCATGACCTGCCTCAAAACACTCCCTCGAGAGCTCAGAAAAACAAAGCTATTGTTGGAGTTGGAAGCCCAACTCCAAATCAAATTCTCTTTGCTGCAACTGCCAACTCATCACGGGCCTTGCTGAGCCTCTTAGGGCGATGACAAACCGCCACAAACTCCTTGACATGTTACACCCTCAAGGGAGACCCTTGTTTTAGCTAAATCACTCATTTTGAGCCTGATGGCAGGTGCTTGGTTCACTGAATTCCAACAAAAACGTGGTTTCCCAATCACACCCTCACATGCACTCGGGTTCAATCTTCTGCTCAGAGGAGGCTTGACTTGGGTTGTCCAAAACTGTTTCACAACCAGAGAGCATTAGCGCTTGGCAGGGCTATAAAATCAGGTTTATGTCAATAAAGACATAGAAACACTTTTGAGAAGGTTTTAAAGCCCTTTTAGATCGCTCTGACGGGCGCATCGAGCCCGGAGGGACGTGAAGGGGCTTGCAGAGACCAGAATACTTTGGTATTTCTGCCTTGCAGTCCCTTCACCCAACCTCAGCAGGGTCGCGATGCCATCGCCAGCCTGAGGACTCTGCCCCACGCTCGTGACGGGGGCAGGTCCCCATCTCTCCGAGGCTGGGGATTATCCCATTATCCCATTGCCGGGATATTCCCCGTCGCTCTTGCAGGGTCTCCAGCCACGAGCCCCCTGCGCAGCACGTGGCACTTGGCAAAGCCGCTCCTGCATGAACCCATTAGTGAGCTCACATTGTTTAAAAAACCATATGGCTTAATTGCTTAACCACTTTAATTTGTATTTTAATGAGCAGAGGTGTCTGAAGATGCCTTCCAACCCAGGATCCCCATTTATCCCGCCGATGAAGCCGAAAAACTTCCCCCCAAACCGCAAGCTGCCACTGAAGCTGTGACAGTAAAAGTCAACTCTGCAGTTATCCCTTTGATTGGAGAAGTTTGGGGAGCCAGTTCCAGCTCCGAGCCTATTCCCCCCTAGCTTTTTTTTCCTGAAAAGATTCAAATCTGGGTCTGGGTGCCTCTCGGCAGGAAGGGGGGACTTTTCCTCCCAAACCTCATCAGGTTGAACTGCAGCCCGAGGGGGTTTGCGTGGCAGGGAACAGGGAAACTCGTCTCCCCCTTGGCAACAAGCATCCCCCATGCCCTGTTCCCGCCTGGAAACCCTCCCGGCGCACTGGGATCCCCCATTTCCCAGCTCACCGTGGGGACACGGTCAGGGCGAGAAGCGAAAAGGCTTGAACCCGGCTCTGGCCGGGGGGGAGAGGTGGCGGCTGCATCTCCCCAGCCTTACGCAACAGGCAGATCTGCGAGAAACCGAATGAACCTGTTGGAGCCTGGGCGGAGAGCGTAGCTGGCGGGAGTTCCCAGGGTGGCTCCGCCACCGGCTCCCGGCACGGCTCCTGGCTCACTGCCAGCCGGGGCGCTTGCCCAAGAAGCCAGCGGTTGGGCCAGCAAATCACCCTGCTACACCCACGAAGTCCTGCCCCACCGCGGTGGGGTGGGAAAAACCTCCCTGGGACACGTGGGCTGCTTCCAAATTCCGTCCTGCATCCCGAGGCCCAGCATCTGGGATGCTCCAGTGCTTGCCGGGCTGGTGAACGCACCAGGAGCAAAGCTCCAGCGACAGCAAAGCTTTCTGGGGACCCGGCGTTGGCCAACGCTGCGACAGGGTGACCCAGCGGCAACACCAAATTCGTGGGATGAGCATCCTGGGGTGGGAAGAACGCCTTGGAGGTGTCCTTTCTCCCCAAGTCGTGGGGTGGGGGGTCAGACAGAGCCCACAGCACAACCCGGC